CCCTGGATCTGCCCCCTGGAAGCTCCATCCCCTGGATCAGCTCCTCAGCCCCTGGAGGCCGAGTCCCGTCCGCTCCGATCCACGTCGAAACCTCCACCCCGCAACGCACTGCCCGGGACGTCCCGCCCCCGAAACGGCCCCTTGAAGCCGGTTCCGGCTCCGCCCTTCTGCGGACTCCACGCGGGCTCCGGAATCCGTTCAGTCTCTGCATCCGACCAGGTCCAGCGCCCCTAGCTCAGCCTAGCCCTAGCCCCGCGCCTCTTAGCCCCGCCTCCCACTCCCGGCGCTGCGGGAGTCCGGTTCTCCGCTGTTCTCCTTGGAGGCCTTTCCGTCGCCCAGCAGGGTAGCAGGAGCCAAGCGTGCGCTTGCCTTTCAGGATCCCTTATGTAAGCAAAATGCTGAAGCAGTGCTGTGACCCCAGAGCAGAATGGCATGGTGAGGCCCCCTGGTCTCACCAGACGCATGTTCAGCTGACAGTAGGTATCAGAATTGAAATGGCAATTAGTAAGCACTTTGTGGGGTGGGGGTGGGTTAGGATTATTCCTGATTGAAAAACATTGACAGAAAAGACTTGAGGGCAGAAACCACCATAATCACTAAAATGTGTGAACCCAAAAGAATGTATAGTTACACAAGAATTGATCCCAGTGGAAATAATTTTATTAAATACCTGAGATTAACTAGAGGCTCATAGTCTGCAAACTGCCGGAGCATCTGAAGCGCTAAGTCTGTGATCTAAAAAACAAAGCTCTTTTAAACTACAGTGCAAAAAAACGGGAAAGAGAATAGAAAGGGTAAAAAGGCTAGAGTCAGAGTCTGACGAATTTGTGGTAGGAAAAGGGCATAGTGAGCAGGAAAGTGGAATCCTTCCTAGACAGAAGGTGTTTGCAGGTGCTCACAATACTTGGATCCTAAAGAACATTCAGGTTGTCCAAAGTTAACTGAAGTATTCATTCCCAAGAAGCTGGTAAAGGAAAAGATGGTGCAAAAAGAAAAATCTTTACCTGACAGTGAATCTGAAGATAGCAAATCAAAGGAAAAAAAAGAGATGCTGTTGACAAGCTAGGGCTTTTCCAGAGGTCTGGGGCCTAAGCGAAGCGGGCCCCAGACAGGGAAGGCTGATCCGTCCATGAAATGGAAAGTCAGTGGAAAGCATCCTCAACCCGGAATTGCTTTTGTGAAGAGAGACTGACCTGGCATTCTTGTCCAGAGGATGAAGACCAGTAATAATTTGCATTTTTTTGATATTTTATTTTTATTTTATGTGTATAGTGCATGTATGTGAGTGCAATGCTGTGGAGGTCAAAAGAGGGTGTCAGATTTCCCTGGAACTGGAGTTAAGGATGGTTTGCAGCCGCCTGTGGGTGCTGGGAATCGAACCCAGGTCTTCTGCAAGAGGAGTCAGTTTAAATCCAAGCACCCACATGATGGCTAACAACCGTCTATGGCTCCAGTTCTAGGAGATCCAACACCCTCTTCTGACAGGGGGCTTTGCAGGACAGGTGCACTCGCATGCAAGTAATACACTCATACAAACAAAATAAAAATAAGTAAAATGTTTAAAAAAAAAAAAAGAAAGTAAAGACAGTTTATGTGTGTGTTGTATGTATGCACCCACACGCAGAGACTGGAGTAGAACATCCCCTGTCTTTTCACTATCACCCTCTGGCTTATTGCCAATTAAAAAAAAAAAATCTACTATTAGGCTGGGTCCTGTATTTTTAAAGAAATTATTTACATTTAAGGAGCATAAAACTATTTGTTGATCACTGCTCACCATTATTTATAGTAAACAATACACAATTGGATGACCTTCTGATACTACAATTTTCCTGGCTTCTGCCAAACCAGTAACCCGAATACTGAAAAGACTGAGCCTACAGGTAAGAAATGGGGTAAGGGAAAGCATGCAGGTCAATAATTTATATCATTAAATTTTGTTTACCTGTTTATGTCAAGCAGGTAATAAAAACTGCCAACACCTCTGTGGTGGTTTGAATGAGAATGTCCCCCATAGGCTGCAAATATTTGAGCATTTTGTGCCCAGTTGATGGTGTTTTGGGAGGTCTTAGAAGGTATGGCCATGTTGGAGGAAGCAAGTCACTGGAGGCAGACTTAGAGAGTTCTTAAGCCTTGCCAAATCACCAGTCACTCTCTGCTTCCACTCCTCCTCCAGCCACCTCTGCTCCCATGCCTCCCCACCATGATGGATTCTTGCCCCTTTGGAACCATAAGCTAAATAAACTCTTCCTTTTATAAGTTCCCTTGGTCATGATGTTTCTGTCACAGCAACAGAAAAGTAACTAATACAACCCCTCTCACAACTGTATGTCCAAGAGCAATCTTAGAGATTCCATGGATCATAACATACAGATTCCAACTTTCTGTAAAGGAGTGGCTCCCTAGAGGAACCCCTAAATGTCCATTTAAGTCTTGCTTAGTTTATCAAAACAAGCAGGATCTGTCCAGTTTCCTTGTCTGGGGATGTCTTGGACTGGCATTGAGATGGCTCAGCAGATAAAGGCACTTGCTGCCAAGCTTGGCAACCTGAGTTTCATCCCTGTGATCCACGTGGTGGAAGGAGAAGACAGACTCCCAAAAGTCTTCTGATCACCACTCTTATGACTCCTCCCTCCAATAAATAAATGTAAATAAATAATAATTGTGGGGGGGGGATTGAGACAGTCTTGCCATAGCCCCAACTGGCCTGGAATTTGCTGTGTAGACCAGGCTGACCTCCATCTCACAGAGATCCATCCGCCTGCCTCTGCCTTCCCAGTGTTGGAATTAAAGGTGTGTGCCACCTCATCTTGCTGATCATAGCTTTTCAAGATTGATACAAAAAGTAGCCGAGCGTGGTGGCGCATGCCTATAGTCCCAGCACTCAGGAGGCAGAGGTAGGCTGATCTTTGTGAGTTGGAGGCCAGCCTGGTCTACATAGTGAGTTCCAGGACAGCTGGGGCTACAGGGAGAGCCTGTCTCAAAAAGACCAA